CGATTGCTCCCGGCTTCACGAGCTGTGCTGGTGAAACCGTGCAATAAAAACAAGTGTTTGGAGGAAAAAGAGGGTTGATAACTTAATTTTAGACGCTTCAGCCTTTGCTTGGCACAGGCACCTTTTTGGGGACAGGCTGCACCCGCCCTGCTAATTGCCCTAACGAGAGCGAAGGGTGGATGGCATCAGCCCGGGGTGCTGTTTATGTCTGTCTTATAAACACAGTTATCACCGAGGAGACTAATTACAGGGTGTCCTAATGAAGGAACCCCTGGGCAGAGGCTGTGTTTGGGAGCCAGGCTCAGTGTTACAGCCTGCAGGTTTCAGACTAGCCCAGATCCTTCCATGCTAGGACTGATAATAAGACTTGACCCCCTGAAACAGCGAATCCCCTGCACTGACCCCAATTTTTGGTGTTTTGGGATGTTTATTTGTCACTCATGAATAAACTTTCCCGTTTGCTCCCGCAGATGTGCCGGACGGCGATGCCTCCTGGCCCGGCTCGGCCCCGGCCTTCCCGCACGCCAGTGAGTTTGGGGTTTATGGATGGTAACGGGATTAAGTTCTTTCCCCGTGGGATCCGAAGCTTTGCAAAGCTCTATCCGCTTAGGAATTCCGAGGCCGTGCCGAGCGCCTGGCCTGTTTACCGACGGCCTCGTAGGTTGGGGCTCCAGGAGAAGCTCGGCCGGGTCTCGCCGAGGAGGCAGAACCGGCGTCACCCTCCGGGGTGGCTTTTTGTGACAAGTGACGTTAAGTTTGCGCTTACGGGGAGCGAGGATGAGCTCCCTCGCTTCGTGCTGCCAGGCTGAGGAGAAACAGTTATTTCCTGCTCAATTGGGCTCCGAGTGTAATTGCGGTGTAATCTCAGGAACATTAAATTACAAGCCCTGCAGCCGGTGCAGGGTGCAATTACCGTGGCAGCAAAGAGCGGGTTGCACGTTATCACTGTTGCATAACCCGTTATCCGATATCCCGTCCTCCTGTTTGGGGTGGCAGGGGGTGGCTCCGTGGATTTTGCCACGGAACGGGGCCGAACGCGGCATCCGGAGGGTTATTCCAAGCTCCGGGGAGCTCGTGGGATTGTTTTAATTCTTTTTATTGCTCTGGGCCGGGCTGGGAGGGCGCTTGCTGCCCGTTCCTCCGCACAGCCCGGGGTCTCCTCTCTGTTTTCCAGTGTTGTCCCCATGGGCACGACGGCCAAGGAGGAGATGGCGCGGTTTTGGGATAAGAACACCAAATCCAACCGCCCCTTGTCCCCCCACGTCTCCATTTACAAGTAAGAGGCTCTGCTTGGCGCCGTGGTCCTTCCCCCTGCGCTTCCCGGTGACATTTCTCGCTGTCTCCCTTGGGAACCCCCTTCCCCTCATTCCTCAATCGCAGCAGCCCTGCAGTTTTCCGCTCCTTCCTCAGCCCTTCCCAACCCCGTGCCCAGTGGCATTTGTCATTCCCAAGCTGCCTCTGCACATTCCCCCGTCTCCCCCCTCTTGCTCCAGCTGGATTCCTTGAATAATTCCGAGTGCAGAGCTCCCCGCCCAGCAGCACAGAGCTGTCTAGGAATAGACGGGCCGTGTTTTGGGCCCTTGGAAGCCTCTCTAATACGATGTGTTTTTTGGCACCTTCCCGCTTGTTTTGCAGGTGGTCCCTGCCCATGGCGATGTCCATCGCGCACCGCGGCACCGGCGTGGCGCTGAGCGTGGGTGCGTGGATCCTTGGGGATTTGGGGGGGATTTTCCTGAGGCTCGGGAAGTTTCGGAGGTGCCTGCGAGTGGCTGCTGCCTTCCCAGGGACACTGATGTGTCCCAGCACTGCCACCAAACAGGGAGAAGCCTCCTCTCTCCTTCATCCTCGATGAGCTCTTGGTTTGGCTGCGGCTCTGTCACCAAACCAGATATATCAGGTCGATATCCCCAGAGAAATGAGATCAATTATCCCCGCTACCTGCTGGGAAATCATGGGGGATGCAGCTGGGATTTGTTGGAATTGCTCTTCAGTGTAGGCATAGCTCAGCAATGGGGAAAAAAATGGGTGCAAACCCATTCCTAGTCAAAACAACTTGGGAATTGCATTGCTTTGGGGCTAGGGAGGATGTGAGCGCTGCAGGGACGCGTGGAATTGATGTCCTCCTTCCAGGCCTTGGACTTGCAGCCTCCGGCCTGGCTCTCGGTGCTGGCAGCGAGAAGCCGGTGACGATTGTGGTGACTTTGGCTTTCCCAGGTGTGTCCCTCTTCGGCCTGGCCGCCCTGCTGCTCCCGGAGCAGTTCCCGCACTACCTGGCCGTGGTGAAGTCGCTCAGCCTGGGCCCCGCTCTCATCTACTCCGCCAAGTTCGCGCTGGTTTTCCCGCTCTCCTACCACACCTGGAACGGGATCCGGCACCTCGTGAGTAGCCTGGGCCGGGGGAAGGAAAACGCGGGAATGACGCGCGCGGGATTTGGGAAGGTGCCCTTGGAAATGAGTCACCTAAAGCGCTTCAGAACCCAGGTGCTATTTTTGGGGCCGTGGAAGTTGCAGAAAGCAGCGCTCGCTGCTGCTCCTTCCCCCAGCGGCAAGGAGAGCCGGAGCGTCGCCCCCGGCGCCGCGTTCCCTCCGGAGCGGCGCAGGGAGCGGATCTGGGATGAGAGGGTGGCAGGGAGCGGGTGCAGGGAGGTGTCTGCAGAACCGCAGCGCCGCGGGAGGGACCCCGCTCGGTGTCTCCTTGCTGTTGATCTTCCAAGGGCTTCGCGCTGTTTGCGGAAAACGCGGAGCAGCGGCTCGGAGACGAGCGCGCCCTGCTTAAAAGCAACCTGGGATGTTTCCCCGGAGCTTGAAGTTTGGAACAATCAACTCGGCCGAGCCGAATTTCCTGTGTTTAGGAAAGGAGGGGGAGCTTCGGAGCTGGCAGTGGGACAAGCCGTGCTGCTTTCCTAGGTGATTCCGTGTTCCCGCAGCTCCAGCTGCGTTTGGTTTTGCGGAGGCAGCTGGCCCGGCGCGTGACACCGTCCTGCAGCAGCAGTGACCCCGGCTGAGCCTTGTGCTGGCACGGGAGCAAAGTTGGGGGAGACATTTGAAATCCAGAGCTGAACCTGGATGCGCGGGAGGCCAGGGCTTCTTCCCACCTGCTTCCCAGTCCTTCCCAACAGCTCCGCGCTGTTACTGCTGCCTTGGAACTGTGGCTTGGGCGCTTCGTAACCTATTTCTGTCAGCAGGAGGGAAGCCAGGAAAGAGCAGCGGCCGCTCCGGCCGGCACGTTTTGTCTCGGGATTTTCCATGCAGGAACTAAGTGCTGTGTCTCTTCTCTCCTGGCAGGCGTGGGACTTGGGGAAGGGCTTCAAGCTCAGCCAAGTGAACCAGTCCGGGGTGCTGGTCCTTGTCCTGACCCTGCTCTCCTCGGCCGGCCTGGCAGCCATGTGAAGGCGTCTCCTGCTCCGCAGCCTCCGTTTTTCCGGAACGTCTGCTCCGTCCGTCCTCAGGATGCGGAGAGGGAGGCTCCGAGTAACTACCAATCTTTGGGGGAGGTGGCACTTCCCCTCCTCGCGATTTTTTGTGGATGATCCGAGTTGCTTCTCGCCAGCCCGGGCAATGTGCTGGTCCGGGCCAGCCTTGTTCATGGCCAGGGGGACAGGCCAGGGTGTCCCCTCATGTACCCAACCAGCCACAGAGAGCTGGGCACAAGCTGATTCCACTATGTCCCAGCGCTCGCAGAGACCTGCCTAACTCATTACAGCTCTTTCAGACAATCTTTGGTGCATTTTTAAATTATTTTCCTCCCCGCTGTGTCCCAAAGCTTTAGACAAAGCCCGTTCTGTGTCCGCTCGGGTCCGAGTGGGCTCAGGGAAGGAGATGCCAGCACGGGTGTGGGCCCGGGCCAGGACAACCGTGGCCATTGAGGACCCGCGTCCCAGGGGAGGGAGAGCAGAGGGAGCTGCCAGCGCCGGCGCCCGTGACGGGAATGGGAAATCGGTGCCACCCGGGATGCACCGCGGGATTCGTGAGCTCGGCCCTGCGGCTGTTCCCTCATCCCCGAAAAGGCGATTGAGCAAATGTGGGGGCTCTGAAGCCAATGGAAAAGTCCCGCTTTTCCCTGTGTTCTCCTAAAGAAACCTGGGAGCGCCGGCGTTTTCCTGGCGGCGCCGGCTCTCGTGCCGGTGCTCGTTTGTCCCCATCGCAATAAAGCAGCCCTGGTCCTTCACACGCGACACCCCCGGGTTGCTCTTTTTGGGTGTTTTGGCACAATGTTGGCCGAGAAACAGGAGGAGAGAGGAGGGTTTGCGTTGAGATGGAGTCGAAGCTTCCCAGAGGAGCTGAGTGACAGAACAACAAAGCCTTTGCCCGGATGCTCCTTTTTCTTTTTTGTTTTTGTAGGGCCAAGTTTAACACCTGCCCTTTGGGGTTTGTGGGTGCGGGGTTGCTCTGGCTGGGAAATTCCGCCAACCCAGGAGGGAGGAATTTTCTTGGGACTGTATTTGGTTGTGGTGGTACAAAATACCCCCACAAAATCCCAGACTGGAGCTTCCTGCCTAAATTTGCCCATTTCTAGTGTCCCCTGGCTGCAAAGGGGCTCCTCATCGCGAGCCCTGTCCTGTTGTTATGTCCCTGTTACATCTGCTCTCTCCTTTGGGAAGGATCCTCCTTCTGTTCCCAAAACGGCGGCTTCCTCGGGAACGTCTGCTCTCATCAGCCGGCTTTTCATGGAGACCACAAGTGCAAGAGGGGAAGTCATTCCCAGAAAGGCTTCCCGGGATCAGCTGCAGATTAGCAGAAGGGCTCCTGGCCCTGCGGGGACACGAAGCCTCTCAGAGATGAGATACAGCAGGAAAACCCACCACTGAATCGCCCTCAGTAGAGCTTTAAGCCCTAGTGGGAGAGATCTGGTTGAAAACTAACGTATTTGAGCGTTAAACCAATTACTCCCTGCAGCTGCCAAAACGGTTTTTAGTTGGAAGCCTCTTCTGCTGGCTCATGAGTCGCTCTGCGGCGCAGGCCAGCTGCAGAAGTCGGATTTTGCCCCATTTCTCACCTTTCTGTGGACTTTATTTCCTCCCTGGGTGCATGTGCAGCCTTGGGGTTGCAGCGGGACCAGCGTCTACCCGTTTTAGCGCTGAGAACAGTCACATCCATGGGCCAGTAGCTGCTGAAACCAACGGATGGAGAGATTTTTTTTTTCCTTTTATTTTTCCAGTTGCCACGAAAACACAAGTGCTGGCTGCACAGCCGGCCGGTGCCGGGGCTCCTCCTCCAGCTCTGCTTCAGCGCCGAAGCTTTTTGGTGGAAAAGCGGCTGGGGAGCGGGACTGGGATCCCGGGAAGCCGCCAGCTCCGCTCGCCTCATCCGGCTGGGAGCCCTCGTGCGCGAGCGGGACGGAGCGGGAATGGTTTGTGCGGGATGCAGGGAGCAGCGGGGACGGAAGCGGCCGCGGCCGGCGGGGAGCGAGAGCGGGAAGGGCTCAAAAACATTCCCACCTCGATAATTTCCATGGGGTCATTCCCACCTCGGTGTCCCCATGGTGCCATTCCCGGCCTTGGTGTCCCCTTGGGGTCATTCCCGGCCTCAATGTCCCCACGGAGCCATTCCCACCTTAATGTCGCCATGGCATTCCCACCTCGATAATTTCCATGGGGTCATTCCCACCTCGGTGTCCCCATGGTGCCATTCCCGGCCTTGGTGTCCCCTTGGGGTCATTCCCGGCCTCAATGTCCCCACGGAGCCATTCCCACCTTAATGTCGCCATGGCATTCCCACCTCGATAATTTCCATGGGGTCATTCCCACCTCGGTGTCCCCATGGTGCCATTCCCGGCCTTGGTGTCCCCTTGGGGTCATTCCCGGCCTCAATGTCCCCACGGAGCCATTCCCACCTTAATGTCGCCATGGCATTCCCACCTCGATAATTTCCATGGGGTCATTCCCACCTCGGTGTCCCCATGGTGCCATTCCCGGCCTTGGTGTCCCCTTGGGGTCATTCCCGGCCTCAATGTCCCCACGGAGCCATTCCCACCTTAATGTCGCCATGGCATTCCCACCTCGATAATTTCCATGGGGTCATTCCCACCTCGGTGTCCCCATGGTGCCATTCCCGGCCTTGGTGTCCCCTTGGGGTCATTCCCGGCCTCAATGTCCCCACGGAGCCATTCCCACCTTAATGTCGCCATGGCATTCCCACCTCGATAATTTCCATGGGGTCATTCCCACCTCGGTGTCCCCATGGTGCCATTCCCGGCCTTGGTGTCCCCTTGGGGTCATTCCCGGCCTCAATGTCCCCACGGAGCCATTCCCACCTTAATGTCGCCATGGCATTCCCACCTCGATAATTTCCATGGGGTCATTCCCACCTCGGTGTCCCCATGGTGCCATTCCCGGCCTTGGTGTCCCCTTGGGGTCATTCCCGGCCTCAATGTCCCCACGGAGCCATTCCCACCTTAATGTCGCCATGGCATTCCCACCTCGATAATTTCCATGGGGTCATTCCCACCTCGGTGTCCCCATGGTGCCATTCCCGGCCTTGGTGTCCCCTTGGGGTCATTCCCGGCCTCAATGTCCCCACGGAGCCATTCCCACCTTAATGTCGCCATGGCATTCCCACCTCGATAATTTCCATGGGGTCATTCCCACCTCGGTGTCCCCATGGTGCCATTCCCGGCCTTGGTGTCCCCTTGGGGTCATTCCCGGCCTCAATGTCCCCACGGAGCCATTCCCACCTTAATGTCGCCATGGCATTCCCACCTCGATAATTTCCATGGGGTCATTCCCACCTCGGTGTCCCCATGGTGCCATTCCCGGCCTTGGTGTCCCCTTGGGGTCATTCCCGGCCTCAATGTCCCCACGGAGCCATTCCCACCTTAATGTCGCCATGGCATTCCCACCTCGATAATTTCCATGGGGTCATTCCCACCTCGGTGTCCCCATGGTGCCATTCCCGGCCTTGGTGTCCCCTTGGGGTCATTCCCGGCCTCAATGTCCCCACGGAGCCATTCCCACCTTAATGTCGCCATGGCATTCCCACCTCGATAATTTCCATGGGGTCATTCCCACCTCGGTGTCCCCATGGTGCCATTCCCGGCCTTGGTGTCCCCTTGGGGTCATTCCCGGCCTCAATGTCCCCACGGAGCCATTCCCACCTTAATGTCGCCATGGCATTCCCACCTCGATAATTTCCATGGGGTCATTCCCACCTCGGTGTCCCCATGGTGCCATTCCCGGCCTTGGTGTCCCCTTGGGGTCATTCCCGGCCTCAGTGTCCCGACAGAGCCATTCCCACCTTAATGTCCCCATGGAGCCATTCCCATCCTCCACCATGGGGTCATTCCCACCTCAATATCCCCATGGTGCCATTCCCAAACCTACGCTGTCCGCACAGAGCCATTCCCAACTTAATATCCCCATGGAGTCATTCCCACCTTGGTGTCCCCATAGCGCCATTCCCGGCCTTGGTGTCCCCATGGGGCTATTCCCAGCCTCAGTGTCCTCATGGGGCCATTCCCTACCTCAGTGTCCCATTGGGGTGATTCTTACCTCAGTGTCCCCACAGGACCATTCCCTGGTTTTGGTAGCCCCATGGGGCCATCCCTACAAAGCCATTCCAACTGGGAATGCCGTGTCACCCTTTTTTTTAGGTAAAGAGACCGGGAACAGAGCGGGACCTTGATATGAGCCAAATCCCAAGGATGGGAGAAGGAGAGGTGGGAGAAGAGATTGGGAGATGCGATATCAGGGAAGGAGAGGAGGCGATTTGAGTAAATTGAATAAATAGGAAGATCCTATTGAGCGGGAGCTGCCGGGTGCTGGACTTTGGGTCACACCTGGACCCGCTCTTTCCCATTTTAATGGAGAAACTGGGGGGAAAACAGCCTGCTCAGACAGCCCGTCGGACCGGTCCCGACCCAGAAGGTGCTTCTGGACCAAAACGTTGAACGAGAAGAAAATTCTTCAATCCAAGGCCTTTTTGTTAGCTCTGAACGCAGGTGGTGACCGTGTGGGTCACCTTCCTCCATGGCTTCAGCCCTCACACGTCACCTTCATCCACAGGTTTCAGGATGACCAAATGTCCCCCCAAATTGGTGTCTCCTGAGTGCTGGTCACTCAGGGCCTTCCTCAGCCCCGGCCGTACCAGAAACGCTTGTTTTCAGCCCAAAGTCGCTGTCCTCGGCCGTCCTCGCTCCGGGCCGCCGCTCTGGTGTCCCCGAGGAGCAAAGGCAGGAGCCGGAACACCCAGATAAGGAAGCTGATGGGATGCGGGATCTAATTACTCTTCCTGCAGAGCCCTCGCCCTGGCCCGGGGCGCCGGTTTGGGCACCGGGCCGTGTCGCAAGAGGCGCCTCCTTCGCGCTACCCCGCGGGCAGCCTCGTTGGGAGCCTTTAGCCCCGTGTCCCTCCTCTTCCTCAGCTCCCGCCGAGCTGCTCCAATGGCCGAGGCGGCTTTAGACCCGGGTGCTCCTTGGT